ACAATCCTGGGAAGTTCAGTGAATACTGGTCACAAAGCTCCAACCCAGAGTAGAGGTGCCAGTACATACAATGATTGACAGTAGGAAGGTACCACAAAACCCAAACAGGAAACCAGCAAACCAAAAGCCAGTGAAGGGCAAACGAAGCCTGCACCTGAATATCTCAGTGGTGGCAAAAGGGATGGAAACGGTAGGAACTAAAACTGCACCCAAACCCTGACCATGGGGAACACCAGGCAGGTAAAATCCAGATTTCCATACAACTTCTCGACCAATCACCGAGTAATACAGGACTGTCCCAATACCAGATGGAGATGAGCTCACGGGCAGAGCAGAGCCAAATCAGACTGAATTATGTTCAAACCTGAGATGGAACCAACTGGAACTTCCACCAGAATACAAAATTCTCAAACCCAGCAAGCTAGGAGAGGAACAAATCCTGACTTGCAAACATGTGGACTGGCTAGAAGTCCAAACCAGCAGTCATTGAGGTAGGGCAAATCATGGACATCTAAAAGATGCTGCCAGGTAAAAACCACTTAAGTTAACCTGGTAAGTACCAAGGAGCTAGAATCAAGCCAAAAAGAAGGACCCCCAAGGCAGTCCCCTGAACAGTGGATGAAACGGGACATGCCAGAATGGGTCACAGAGGTCTAGGGGACACTAACTAGGAAAACTGCTTGCTACACCTAGAATGGTCATGCAAAAGGTCAGACTTGGAAGACAAAGAAGCAAACTCAAATTGGTAATTGAGAACATAATGTTGGGCTGTCAAGTCCTGCAAATGGACTAGGAATAACTGGGACACCCAGGCAAGAGATGGGGAAGTCAACTAACCCAGAGTCCATCCAAGACACAATGACCAAAAACAGCTGTGGAGGAGAAAGAGATCCAAAAGCCCTGGGACTGGAGTAGGGGGCAAGGACCACCACCAGCACAAGCCCAGAGAGAAAATGTGCATTGGAACTGGAGATTTGCCAACTTGAGGTTGCACTGTACAGTATATAGTATATGTAATATTTTTTTCTTCCAACACTGTATGTTGTTATAGATTCAGCTTATCAGAACAAGTTTCAAGCAGCACGGGCTATGGTGAGCTCGTAGCTTACCTGGCACAGGAGCGGGGCAAGTAGCACAGGCTATGGTGAGCCCGTAGTGGGGATGAGCACTGTATGATTTCACTGATAATACACCTAGGTTAGATGGATGTGAAATCCGATGAAATCAATGTAACAAAAGTGAGCCTGAGACTGAGCTTAGGTTTAACCCTTTAATGGCGCATGGCTATATACCATTTGACACCCACAGGTGCATAAAAAAAAAAAAAAAAAAAAAAAAAAAAAAAAAAAAAAAAAAAACTTTTTTCTTCCTAACCTGTTAATTTGTGTTCACTGATCATGGGAAAAATAATAAAAAAAATCGTAAGTGGCATATATTGCCCGCTATAGGGCGGGGAAGTCTGGCAAAAAACAGGCGCTGACTCAGCATGCATCCCAGGCGGTCTGTTGCTTGCCAGCTGTCAGGTCGGAGTTGCCACAAAGAGATAATTACCTAATTATTTCAATGTCTCTTGATTGATTTTTCATAGTTTTTTTGCTGTAATATTATTCAATAGTGTGTAGTGTGATATATTTATATAATAAAATGAGTGAATCATCGCTGTACTCAAAAATATGGTGTGCATATTGTTGATTCAATTATATTCATCAAACAGTGAACAAATACTTTGTCGGTTATTACACTATACAGTATCCACTCAATTTAACGGCCTCTTTTATACCGATCTGCTGGTATTAACGACCGGTTTGGGAGCCCAGTAGCTAGAGCCTGCTATACCGGTCTGCGGTCGATATTACCGACAGTCGGTATTGGGTTTGTTGTGGCATCAGCATCCCCTCACATGGCGACCAGGCCGCCACCGACCTGGATCGTCCAGAGTCATATATTACATCTTAATTTTCTTTTAAAATGATTCACTTTAATGAAGAAAATTGTAAATTATTATTAATAAAATATTTTGAAACAGTTTTTATTAAGCAAAAGTCTTTGTTTTCTTAATAAATACCTTTTATAGTATGTATAGGCACTAGGTATTTTTTTTCCCACGGACCTAGTATGTACTCCGCCGGCCATGTGTTCCCATTGTTTACCGTGAACTCGCGCGGCTAGCTTCAATTGTGAAGGATATTACTGTACTGTAATTGTGATCTTTTTAATTTACAAAATGCCAAAAGTTACCCAAAGGAAGCGCCTGACGGTTGCACAGAAGCTGGAGTTAATTAAGAAACTTGATAAAGGATATTCTCATGCACGACCAGCAGCAGAGTTTAACATCGGGAAAAGTACAGTAAGTGACATCAAGAAACAGAAGGATACTCTATTAAAATATGCCTGAAAATAAGTGTACATACAGTATGTACCCTGTATACAACATAAACAATATAAAACAAGCGCTGCAGAGGATGACGTAATCTTCACAGCTTCGTAATCTTCAGCTTCATTAAAAGTAAGTCAATTTACCAATTTTATTATAGTATTACAAGATATTAATTGTTTTTTTTCAACAAAAGCTACATATTAGTCTCTGCAAATGTATATTCTATCGTCAGCAGAGAAAAGGTGAGCTCAAAATATTTCGTCTTGGCTAGCTCTCAGTGACAAGGCTCGATCGCCATTGTTATGGCATGGCCGCCACAGCGTGTGTTGTAACATTAAAAGTCAGTCAATTTACCAATTTTATTATAGTATTACAAGATATTAGTTGTTTTTTTTCAACAAAAGCTACATATTAGTCTCTGCAAATGTATATTCTATCGTCAGCAGAGAAAAGGTGAGCTCAAAATATTTCGTCTTGGCTAGCTCTCAGTGACAAGGCTCGATCGCCATTGTTATGGCATGGCCGCCACAGCCTGTGTCGTAACATTAAAAATACATTACCTGCACTGTTCAGGGTAAATCAAAACACATCTCTAAAATTTTATTAAGACAATATTAACTCGCTGATTGATACATGAAATATTTTTCAATACAAAGGAATGAATCAATTTTTTCCCACCCATCTGGACTTGATCAGAGCGTGTTTACACATCATCCATGCAGCAGCCAGCAACTGGCTTAATCGTCGGCCGTGCACTAAATTGGAATGCAATTACACAATGAACTTTATTTAATTTTAGTTATACAGTATAAAATATATCCTACCTGAATGTTACTTGAAAAATTACCCGACCCGACTTAACGTCGGAAATAACGGAGCTCCGTAAATAACGACTTGGGCTCAGCCCCATATAGGCTGTTAAATTGAGTGGATACTGTATACACAGGTTATATATAAGTATCTGCATGTTTTGTTCACCATAACGAACCACTAAGTTGCTATTATGAGTCAAAAAGTAACGAGGAGTGACCACCGTGTACCAGCCAGCCACTCACGCCTTCCCTCAACACCTCACTCACCCACATTCTCCTCCCACCATACTGTTTTTGCTTTTATTCACTATATACAGATGTTATATATAAGTATGTACATTCGTGTTCACCATAACAAACCACTAAGTTGGCATGTTGAGTGGCAGTGGCAGCCCGCCACTGGCTGCTACTTCCTCCCTCCCTCAAGTCACCTGACTCACCCACATTCTCCTCCCACAATGCTGTTTTTGCTTTTATTCACTATATACAGACGCTATATATAAGTATCTACATTCGTGCTCACCATAACGAGCCACTAAGTTGGTATGCTGAGTGGCAGTGGCAGCTAAAGGCAGCCCGCCACTGGCTGCCACTCCCTCCCTCCCTCACCTCACCTGACTTGCCACCATTCTCCACCCACCATACTGTTTTTGCTTTTATATACAGACGTTATATATAAGTATTTACATGTTTTGTTCACCATAACTGTACATCTAAGCTTGTATGGTGAGTAAAGGCACAAAGACGTAGGACCTCACACAGTCAGCTGGCTGCCGCCCTCAAGGCCAGACGCACTAATATTTCTCCTCCAACATTACTGTTTGTGGTGTTATTACGCTATATACACACATTATATATAAATATCTACCTGTTTTATTCACCATACTTGTACAAGTAAACTGGTATGGTACCCAAAGACCATCGTGGTCACCAGTAAACAACATGATAAATCGTGCAGACGATGCCACTGCCCTCACCAAAATGGCGGCTCCCAACCTACTCCTCTTGCTGTTTATACCCTCTATACACACGTTATATATAAGTATCTACATTTGTATTCACCATAGCGAACCACTAAGCTGGTATGGTGAGTGCGGTCAATAAAAGGTGGCCACACACAGTCAGATGACAATGCCACCACTCTCCCTCCCACAGCATTACTCCTCCTTCCATGCAGCACAGCGCTAAATATCACCACAATCCTGCTATTATCAGAACCCTGGTCAGTTTTATCACAGTCAGGGGTCTTCTGTAATAATATCATTGCTACATAATAGCATGAACAAGTATATTAAGGCATTTTTAGGCGATGCTGTTGTCACAAGCTGAACAGCAGTGCTGTGAGCTCATGCTGCGTGCGTCAGGCTTGGTAGCTCACTCAATACTAAGGCCCCTAATACCCGGGAATTTGGCCCACGATTTTTTTTTAATGGCGTCTGTTTACCTGAGCCCTGATGAAGGTGTGGTGAACCCCGTGTATCCGCGGGCAGTTTAAATCTTGCGTAGTACTCCAAAGCATCATATGATGCGATGCGCAATTTTCTGCAAGTCAGTCAAAGCATCATATGATGCGATGCGCAATTTTCTGCAAGTCAGTCAAAGCATCATATGATGCGATGCGCAATTTAAGGGTTAATATGTACTGCACAGTGCAAGACTTGAGATGAAGAAAAACTAACTTATGAACTATAGAGACAAGAAAAATGAGAAGCATTAACAGATTACAGTACTGTACAGTATTTTTAACATTAATGGCTTCAGAGCAGATTACAGTACATCCTTACCCCACTAGATATGAATTAATAACTTACTGTGTTTTGCACATATGGAAGACCATAGTACTTGCTCTGAACCTCCTCCAGTATGTGTGTTGTAGAAGTTGTTGATGACCACCGTTCTTCGCCGTGATAACGTTGATCAAGCAGCGAGTAGAATGTCTGGAGTGAGAACAGTGAACATCATTAGTTTTATTTACTTATTAATGCTTTAATTTACAAAACAGTTACATTATAGACTAACATTGTCCTTCAGTAGCTGATATCTCTAATCTCATAGAATAAAGACAAAAAATACAAAATGTAAGTGTTAATTGTGGCTCAAAAAATGCATTCATAATTACAGTATTCTCATTTTTCTTAACCCTTTAACTGCGCCGCCTCCAAATACGACACCCCCCCCCCAGTGCGCAGGAAATAAATTTTCTTGAAAAAACTTTTGTTTTTTTAAAATGTCAAAAACCCTTCCCTCAGTATGGGTATGTCAAAAAAATTTCAAAATTGTACTTACTTTGGCTACTATGGGATCCGTAAGTTGGCGCGTGACATCATCATTCCCCGTTCGCCCGTGACGTACCTGGTTGATGGGGGTTCTGGGAGTTCTTCTACTCCCCAAGCCCGGCCCGAGGCCAGGCTCGACAACAGGCCAGGCTCGTACGCTCCTGGGGCCAGTAGGGCGCCTGGGGCGGGGCGTGCGAGTTGCCGCGAATATAATTTTGTTCATTTTTTTGAGTACAGTTCCAAATACATTTTATTTGTTTTTACGTGCTAATCCTATGTATAATAAACACGTACACTATACAGTATTATGGCAGTAAAACATCCGTACTGTCCGAGGACACTGTGTTACGTATGAAATTCACTTGTGTACACATAAGTTGCACATATTTACTATGTATCATGCAAATTTATGTATATATACAATCTATTTACAGACTATACACTGCCACACACAATATACATTCACCATCAACACACTCAGAACACCGAGAGTGTGAGCTGTCACACCCAGCCAGCCCTCCCTCACTCCACCAACATTGTATTCGCCAACAATCCTCCTCCCATCATACAGTTATTCACGCCAATGTTTCATGTTCATTTATGTATATTTACAACATATGTACACACTATACACTGTCACACACTATATACATTAACCATGAACACATTCAGAACACTGCAAGTGTGAGCAGCCAAACCCAGTCAGCTCTCCTTCACTCCTCCAACATTGCTCCTCCCATCATACAGTTATTCACACCAATGTTTCATGTTCATTTATGTATATTTACAACATATGTACACACTATACACTGTCACACACTATATACATTCACCATCAACACACTCAGAACACCGCGAGTGTGAGCATCCACACCCAGCCAGCCCTCCCTCACTCCAACATCTTACTTGCCAACATTGCTCCTCCCACCATACTGTTATTGTTTTTATTACACTATTTACACATGTTATATATATCTATCTACATGTTTTATTTACCAGAACTATGCAAGTAAGCCGGTATTGTGTCCAAACAGTACAGTGGCCATCATACACTGCATGAGAAATCACACAGCAGACAGCAGACGACGCTACGATTACGACTTCACCTCCCTCACCAAAATAGCTCCTCTCAACATACTCCTGATGCTGTTATTACACTATATACACACACACTGTATATACCCATGTACATATGTGTTCCTCGTAGCGAACCACGAAGCTAGCATGGTGAGCAAAACAAGAGTGGCTGCCACACATAGTGAGGCTACCTCAATTCTATCCCTTCCTCACCAAAATTCCTCCTTCCACAATACTATGCACAATGCTAATTATAACCACATTACTAGTCACTAATTCCTGTAAATGAATAATTGACCACAAGTTTATTTTGAAAAGGAACCTAAAAAGTCGTTTGAAGATTCCTAGATGGACGAAATAATGCTGTGGTGCTGTGGCTAGAGCTGTGAACATTGTGAACAGCATTGAATCACTGATATTTGAACATTGTACCCAGTCATTATCACACTCAGGCTCTTCTATAAAACTATCATGGCTAAATAATACAGATTATATATATATTTTTACATTATTAGGCGATGCTGTGGTCACACGCTGAACAGCAGTGCTGTGCGCTCATGCTGCGAGCGCCAGCCTTGGTTGCTCGCTCACTACTGAGGCTCTCACACCTGGGAATGTGGACCACGATTTTTTTTAAAGATGGCGTCTGTTTACAAGAGCCCTGAGGAAGCTGATGTGAACCCCATGTAGCCAAGGGAGTTTTGAATGGAACGTGAAAAATACAAATACCTGGAGGTGCGTAACGCACCCCAGACGTGGGCCTGCAGGCGCGTTGCACAGTTAAAGAGTTAAAAAGGTAAAGGTTTATGGAAGCAAGACATATTGAGGGGAGGGGTAATAGTGGTGTGACAGTGTGCTTGATTCTTACTTGGTAAGGAGGCAAAATCTTGCACCATTTCTGGGTTGAGCTTGGTACATGGTATGTGATATTTTCCATTATTTACGTGGCTCCTCATGCCACTCATCTCTAAATGTTAGGGTTTGGGGTTTGGTAATCATAAATACATTCATTCATGCGTGGCATTTCTGCTCGATGATTGGTTTAGTGCGTTTAGTACAGTCCCTGTATTTTACAGGGGGTTGTTTACCTTATATATTTTACTGTTTGGGTAGCAATGTCTTCCCCACTCATCCCAAAACCTGATTCTGCTGATGGCAGCTTTCCTGAGTGGTCCACTTTCTTTTTGGTACCTCTTGGTCAAGTTGCATCTATTGCTCTTCCTGCATGACAGGAGAGTTATTGCTCTCGTGGGTTCAAAGTGTGTTTTCATTAGACCCCATTGGCCAAGACTCTCTGATGTCTCGGCACTCTAGCTATTGTGGACTTTGTTGCCTCAGGCAAGAGGCCGGCGAATACTCCTCTGTTTCAGAGTTCGACTTTTGAAGCTCGTTTCAACTTCTTGTTCCATGTCTTTGCCCAGTGCCTCTTTCTGAACTGGCAGAGGTTGGGCAAGTATCCCAGTCTGTCAGGAAAGGACTCTTGAGTTCCTTTGAATGTCCATTCTGTTGGGGCAGTATTTTAGCATGTACCATTTTGAGTTTTCCTTAGCATTTCATGGGGAGTTTCTTAGGGCATGATGGTGGGATAGTAAGCCATTCCAGTGATGGAGAAAAGGGTATTCTGGTGGCCAGCAGCTGCCTTCTCCCTTGTGTTGCCATCCACAAGGAGTATCTGCTGTTTGTGGCTGATTTTTTCCCTTTTGTATTCATTCACGAGGTGCAGAGATATCCAATATTCTTGTCTAATTCTTAGTAGGTATCTTCTTGATGGTTCTTGTAATTATTGGTGCCGTGGCATTGTATCGACCCACTACTTTGGTGGCAATACAAATTTAGGTTTGCATGGTTTTGCTTTTTTCATCTTTTGCTAATTAGGTCCTTTGATTCTTCTACACTTGTTTTTAATGGCATTTGTCCACAAATTTAAGGATGGCTTAGGGTTTTACAGGCATTTTTAGGTACAGGGCCCTCTTCAACAAACACTTGCATCTCAAAAATTCACCGTGTGACAATCCATGGCTGAATGTATCAGTCAACCCATGAGGAAATGTGTTGTGCTTCCAATTGTGAAGAAATTATAGCTAATTCAAAAGTATGACAGTGGCACCCCTAAAGCAGTGATTTGTGCTGAAAATAGCACACCAAGGTCCCTGTGGTGCAGGTGGTAGCACATGTGTCTCTCACATCATGAGTGATTGTGTCTGGGTTCGAGCCCTGGACTGGGAGGGCTGACTGGATGCTAATCCTTAAATGTTCATCCCTGTTCACCCAACAGTACTGTAATTGAAAATTTGGTGTTAAAGCGATTTGTGGGTCGAGTACCGGGGAAAACTAATATGTTAAGGCTTAGTATGGGCTATGGAAATGGTGAGCTTTAAGCCTCCTAACGTGAGTCAAGTCATCTACTCTTATACCCTACTGTCCAAGAGAAAAATGTCATGTCAAGCTCGAAGTATAGACAGATAATAATGCAGTTAGGAAATGGTAAAAGGATGAGTTCTTATATAAACTGGTAGATAATTTCCCTGTAAAATGAATGTAAACAAGCTGTGCCTTTATTCTATTAGGTGAGTGAGTACATTAAGGAACTCCCACGGTATCAAACATTAAGGCAGCTAGTGAGAGGAAGTCAGCTGATACGTGTTTCCACAATTGAGTATCGAGACACATTAAGGAAAAAGGATAAGGCCTACTGGCTCGTGTGAGGCAACACCTATGTACGTATAACCAATTTTGGAAATTATGAACACAGATGAATTACCTCCTATATACAGACATTAAGTCACAACATGGCTGAAAATTAGACATAGGGAGAAACTATGGCTCAAAATTCCTGTTTCCTCAAAATGCCAGGATGGATAATGATGATGACTGATGATGATTAATAATGATGAATGATGGTGATTGATGATCATCATGATAAATAATTCTGAAAGGTTTGCAACAAACATGAGTGACAAAAATAAAAAAATTTCCCTTGGTGAAGCGTATAGTCCGCATAAAGGAAGGACACAACGTAGAAGTGGGATTACAAGAGGAGTGGCTTCACTATAATAACCACATCAATGCTACACAAACATCAACTGAAGCTGAATGATGAAGATTATGAAGCAATCAACTGAGGAGGGCAACAACAACAATACACTATGCAAATTGAAGAGTCAATATAAACAATGGATGAGCTTCAAGGCTACTCTGAAAAAATTATTACGTTTTATGGGGGAAGATCCATGTTTGATGCAAATAAAATGGTGGCCACATAAAATACATATATGTATAGTGCTTCATGAGAATTTCAAAAGTGTGCATGGAACAAGCCATTCTTAAAGACTGTTTGGAGAGAGATGGTAAGTGATCTCACATTGAGATAGTACCCTCATGTTCATCTTGTGAACCTAGAACTTTTAGCAGCTCAAACAACTCCAAACTCACCAGTAACTTCTTCAAACTCCTATAACTTCATCCACTTCTTGAGAAAGAGGGTAACAGAAGGCCAATAGGATATGTGCAAACATGTTTTCTTTTCTTTTTCTGGAGACTGACATGCAGTATCTGCAAAAGTGGGTTAACTGTTAGCTCTCAAT